GGGTGAATACATCCTTGCTGTCCTGCAAGAATCACAGGCACAGTACTTTTCCATTCCATGCGCCTCAGTATAAATACCACTCTATCAAATAATATAATGTATTACATGTCTTATAGTAATATAACATTTTTTTTAAAAAAGCAAACCTTAAATATGTATTAAGTACAGTATATGACATATATTAAATATAGTAGAAAAATGTTGGTCTTCGTTAACTGCTAATTTCTGGGGAATTTCTGGCCATTCACAACCTGCATTTCCTGCTTCAAGCATTACAATTTTCTGCTCAAAAGACTACTTATCTTTGGAGCTCCTGTGGCATGAAAAGGGACAAGGAAGGAAAACTCCTGAAGAGGTACCATATCTGGAAGAAACCCACATTGGCACACTGTCTTCCATCTGTATCATTCCAGTTTTCAGATTGTACCAATGCAGGCAATTAAGCAAGTGGGAGAAAGGTTTAAGCTTTCTCTCATTGTAGGCAGTGGTCCCGGTTCTAATCAATCCTCCACATTCTTATTGGGCAGTTGTTGTTGTTGTTCAGTCGTTGTGTCCGACTCTTCGTGACCCCATGAACCATATCCCACCAGGCCTTCCTGTCCTTCACTGCCTCCCTGAGTTTGCTCAGTTTCATGCTCATTGCTTCAGTGATGCTATCTAACCATCTCATTCTCTGCTGTCCTCTTCTCCTTTTGCCTTCAATCTTTCCCAGCATCAGGGTCTTTTCCAAAGAGTCCTCTCTTCGCATTAGGTGACCAAAGTATCTGAGCTTGAGCTTCATTATCAATCCTTCCAATGAGCAATCAGGACTGATTTCCTTTAAGATTGACTGGTTTGACCTCCTAGAAGTCCAGGGGACTCTTCAGCATCACAGTTCAAAGGCATCAATTCTTCGGCGCTCAGCCTTCTTTATGGTCCAGCTCTCACAGCCATACATTACTACTGGAAAAACCATAGCTTTGACAATGTGGATCTTTGTCAGCAAGGTGATGTGTGTGCTTTTTAATATGCTATC